AGTCTGATTCATATGGCACATTCTCTATTTCATTCTATTAGATTCCATTATATGGTTTTATATCTGGGCACTCAGAACTATACCTTGACCAGAAAACACCTGAAGCAATAAACACTTCTTAAACTAATAAACACCTCTTTGATCTGAACACCTTGAGACCATATGCTTGTGTAATTGTGTTGGTCCAAATATGTTTCACAGAGACACCAGCGCAATGAACGCAATGAACTGTGAAGCAAAAAACATAGTCATAGAAGATACAAAAATAACATGTGGGTTTGCTTCCAAAAAGATGGATGGAGGTAATGTTACTGATATAATAACTCCTTTCATCTTCCAGATCAAGTGTCTCTTTTTTTATATCTAAATTATGTAACCATATAGCCGAGTTATGATCTCTTTTGTGTGTGAATACAGCTATATATTTTATATTTGTTCTGTTATCTAACCTGGACTATTTTTCCTTATGATAACTGTTTTAAGCGGAGTTGTTACAACAACGAACATGAATTCTGACGTGGAAAATTGATGGCTGAACTCAATTGTTGATCTAGCTATCAGTATATGTCTCCTGTTACATATTTGTTACCTCCCTATTGGCCATATCAGGCAATAATTCGGGACACTTTGGTATTTGTCTATAGTATATCAATCATAAGATAAACTAAAACAGCACATGAAATAAGCCTATAACTCTAAGCAAATAGTCACTATCTTTAGACAATTAGCCAAGTTCTGATCTATCTTCCTCATTGGTATCAATCATGATTCTATTAACTCACAGAGAGATTTTACTTCTAATGTAAACAATGGTAAGACTGGCCAGAGACCCAAGTCATTTCATGTGATTTCATCTTTAGTGCAATATAGTTTCAAGTTCGATAAATGTTTTTGAAAAGAAATCTGATTCTTTGACAAACAGAAGATCCAGTAATTCTATTTTTAGCTCATCGAAACATTTACTGTTGTTTTACCGGTGCACTAACTTTCAACCACTTCCTTTGACTCTCCTACTATCTATTGATTCAACTTCCTGGATTTCTATTATTAAAAAAACATTATTTCAAGAGTGAAATAAAAGTCTTGAGGTTGAGATCTTTTAAGAAGTTCAATGTTTGTTTTTTTCTTTAAAACTGATGTTAGACTACTACTTCAACACATTCTTAACATATTTAGCATTGTAACTGATTTAACTAAAGAAGCCGTTATATCCTGTTGGACCGATCCCCACAGGCTACATGTGTATCGCATACCTATAATGATTTAAACATATCATGGGAAACAGTTTGCGTCAAATACAATCACTGACTGTCAATGGGAAATACAGTTCGCAGTAAACAGTGAAGATATCATACAAGTAGTTCTGTACTCAAATTGCATTTGTACTAACTTATCTAAATAACTCTCACTGGTGTGCTGGAGATCTTTACAGCCTCTGCCCTCTTGACCAGGAGACAAGTGGTAGATGGTCTAATCTACAACCATCAACCACAGACAACAGAACCCATAAAATCTTCATGTGAAGTCATGCATAAAATACCCTTTGATAGACCCCAATTTGTCTTGCTCTCTTTAAATAATTCTTTAATCTATGCAAACACCAATCAGATCATTTCTTATTCAAACTCCCATTAAAGGCCGCAGAAGTTAATTATCGATTAGCATCAAAATTATGAGAATGTTCGAGGGTTATGTGGTTAGCCAATGGAGTGTCATAGTATATGCAAGAAACTCCATGTGGCCGATCAATGTGAATGTACCTTTGTATAACCTGGTAAGCTATGGTAACATAAAAAGCAATTCATCTATTTGAACTTCTGGACACTGGCCAGACAAGAATGTTTCTAGAATATAAAAAGCATACAGATAGTGACATACACATATAAGTTATGAATGGTTTATTTAAGATTTTCGTATGACACTATCATACCAAAAATATTGTTCTACATTTGTCTAAAAAGAAAAAGTTGACAAAGAAATATTTCTTAGAAATGATGGTCAATCACAGGTGTTAATCGATAACTCAGAATTATACGACATCAGCCATCCATCACTGCGTGATGCCAAACAACATGTCAAATAAGTCAGACCAATTTGATGGCTACTCCATCCTGTCAGTTCATATCTATCTGACAGGCTCTGTTGACAGACCAGGGGGTTACAGACACCTACAGACAGGTAGACTCGTCTCCCTCCCCACTTGGACTCAACAGTTGCTTGATAAGGTTTTTCGTCTCTGCACACAATCCTGCCATAAACCACAACAGTTATTTCAGGGTAATAGTAGATATCATGGAATACCCATTATGAATGTTTCAATATAGAGCATATTCGTAAACCCGATACAATATGCCTTTTGAAAGAGCATCCCTCCCTATCAAAGAGAGTTTTCAAAGTGACTGCTAATGACAAAATTGGAGCAAAGAAATATGAAAATGAAGAAGTGTTATTTAAAATCCTTCTTCAAAAACACTGTGATGTACACTTATTAACCTTTGATATACAGTATATGAGGATGGCAGGTGCCAAACATATATTATACTCTTATATGCTACGCAGGGTACATTATAATGAATAGGATCACATGCATGTTACCTCCTTGAGTGACACCATAACATCAGGAGACCATGTTTTCTAACTACTCATTACCAATAATATAATATAACTTAAAAGTGTCTATACTTTCTTCAAGATAACTTAAAACACTCTTTTTAGTTATTTCAACCTGAAGAATAAAACAGCATCTCGGAAAGGCATTTGCTTGAACACTCATACGAGGGTTGTCCAAAAAGTTAATCGATAAAGCTAGAACAAAAGTTTCAAGACTTTTTAGACAACCCTCGTATATGAACACATTATTAGACGTTTATGGTAATCATGAATTGAAATAAATCAATGTTTAACTCTCAAAGTCTCAAGCATGAAACACATTGAACTAATCAAGTTTGGTAAAGCCACTGACAAAATGAATTTTTAAGCTCACACTTCATTTACTTGTTTTGCTAAAACCATCAGAGGGGGTTTATTTTCATATCTTATTCGAGTTAAGCCTAATATATCCGAGTATATAATTGCAATTTTTTCATCATTCACCAAATCATGCCCATGAATAGCTAAAGTAATTCCTACAAAGTAACAGGTTTAGTGCGGCCTAAGCCTTTACATCTAATGTTTGTGAAGTAAATTCAGCAATGTTGACAAAATCACCAAGGATTGTATTCTAATCATAAGAGTCTATTTTAGGAAGGATTTTAAGGTAAGAAAGTGGAATGAAAAAGAATTTTGAATGTTGATACTTTGCGGAAAGATTCTGAAATCTGGATTTCCCCATAGATTCAAAATTGGTTAATTATTATGAGATACAAGGGTATCTACTATCAATCAAACTACTAATTATTATCAATCAGAATATCTTCCAATATGCTATAGTGGCACAACTAGAAAGAAACATTAAATGAGCAAGTTGTATGTTTTCAGAGTTGCACCAATACAAATAACCACAAAATTGTGTGATAGCCAAGGCAGCCAGTTTCAGAGCTTCAAGGAAGGAATTTCCTTACAAAACAAACGAGATCAAGCACACTGAAATCTAGAATCAAAACTTCTCTACAGTTCATTACACCTGTAGCTCAGAACTTGTAAATATGATATGACAAGAAATCTAATATCAACAGATAACTGAAAACCTGATTCATTCCTAGAGAAGTGAGAACATGTAGCCTACCTCCAAATATCGCGATTACAGTAGATAGGCCAAAGAAATGTCTCAGATTAAAGCTATGCCCCATTCATTTACTTCCGGGCAATTCGTAATCTTTTTCAAGCAGTGAGATGGACTGGTTCTCTTAAAGGCTGATTCAGACAGACGTGATTGAAGGATTACACTCTGGTTAACTAAGAACTCAAGCCGCATTTCCTTCTCAATATAATTCCTCATTAATTCCTAATATACATTCGCACATATAAATATGGATTACTTTAGCTGGTGGGATGATACTATAAAATATCATACATATATGTATATTTCTGAAATAATTTATCTAAATCACTGACTTATACTTAAAATACTCAAACGTAACATGTTTTCTTAAAATACACAAAAGATGCATGGACCAAAATATCCAACTTATTTTTGCTACAGAGTTCTGGAAACCCCAAAATAAAATGTTATTACTAAAATAACCAATACAATACTCATTTCTACAAAATATAGTACCTACAGTAGACCCCGCAAACAAGCATAAATACATATGAACTTAATAAGATATACCATGCACTTTATAAATCTAATTCTATTTCTACAGACTGTATGATGAAATTAAACCACTGCTATGAGATAATGATGTAATTATAATAGGACAATACGACACTCATTTGATTATTAATTAACAGGATCATGTATGCACTAAGATTCAAATAGCATGTGGACGTAACATAATCTACCCTATCATAAAAATACACTAATTTACGTTTATTTTTCACTTAACATATATCTTAAATTGAATTTCAAATTCTCAACTTTAAATTAATACCAAAGATGAAAAACTCATATAGAAAAAAATATTAAATTTCGGCACCCACTAGGGAAATCAAATGCATGCTAGATAGTTATCAGACACTATGATTAATTAGTACTCAGGAGATAGCCATAAGATAAATATGATAAACTTATTTAATATGATGGAATCGCCATAAAGACATCTGCTTAAGGAATATACAAATGTGGCATAGTAAATATGACAAATATTGTACAGCTCCAAAAACTGAACAAAATTCCTGTTTTTTACAGAAAAAAGTGTTAATGTAACAAATACATTTTTGGTATAATGATATGAATGGTTGGAATTTGACTTTGTTAGTAGAAGCTTTAGTTAATACTAGTTAACCATAAGTTTAACATGTTAATGTCAAACAAGCCTCATACCCCCAATTCACAGTTTGCAATTTTATGTCCAACCTGTGTTAATTTGTCTTTTATTTGACAGGTAATTACAACTTACCTGTGAAAGATTCAGCTCGTTAAGTGGTACACATTGCTCTTCTACTTCTTCTACTGCACCTGTATGTTTGTTCCTCCGGCCAGCTTCTTGCGCTAAATACAAATCTAACACAGGAGGTCCTCGTGATTTTATTTCACTTTCGGTTAAACTGTTCACCATAAGCATTACCCACACTGGTCGTTTCCTTTCCCAGTTTCCAGCTATTGCATTAAATAAATAATCAGCATACAAGCCACGCCCTCTCTGGTCTTTTGTCATCCAGTTCGGCATCATCCGTTTCACATAAGTTATATGATCCTTTAGTCGTTTATATAAATCTGTTGGTAGAATCGTTGACAAATTTTGTCCTTTTGGTAAAAGTTGGCAATTTGCGAGGTCTGAGATTGTATATGGGTTTGTCAAGTCAAGTTCAAAGTAGATATACTGTGAATGGGCAAAAGCTTCTTTAGTGTTGTCAGGAATGAAATCCCAAACCTTTGTATAAGGAACATGAATCGTTCCAAAGAAGTAAGATGGTGGCCCAGGCGGGTCTCGTTTTATTGTCCATAAAAATGAATTCAGATTCGATTGCTGAAAGAAAAAAGATTGTGCAAATTATTCATTAAATTCATGGACATCTGTGTCTTTGTTAGCGGGCTTTAGCTAAAGATCTGAAAATGCATTATTGCAAAAGCTAGTTCAAGAATGGACTGCACCGTTATGATGTAAGAATAATTTTTTTGAAATTGCAGCAGTGAAAAACTGCATGATAAAATAGAGAGTACTTACATCTGTTGTGTGCCTGCATGGATATTCCATGTTATTGTTGTATGTTGGCAATGATAGACATGCGATGAAGAGAAATTGGAGAAGAGAGAGAAAAAGCCAATTCAGCATACTGCCACTCCATCGAAGTTTCAACCCATTAGGACTTCAAATATCCTCATGGGCTGCTTGTCAACAAACTTTTTTGAAGTTCCCAAACTTTTCAGCATTTTTCAAAGTTTATTCTCTATGATTGCGCTATTTATTTGATATGTGCAGATTCATCTATACGTTTTCCATTTTCTATGTTACATTTTCTTTGCTACTCCTCGTAATTCGCACGTGTGTATCCGTAGATAACTGACTTTCGAAGTAAGAAAACTATACAAACATCTTTCTTCAATTTCAAGGAGGATTGGCTCCCAGGATCGAAACTCGATATTTTCCAACAATGAAAACGTCGAAATGTCGTTATTTTCTGAAATTAAAACCGACTATAAATTCAAAATAAACAGTTCAAAAGATTCGAACCAATATCTCGATCGTTTCTTGTGAGTTTTGGAATTTTTCGTTTGGAAATAAGACCAAAATTCACGATTTAAATGTTGAAGTGAACAAAATGGCGGCTGTTTGAATTCGAATTTTGTATTACGACATACCCATATATGGGACAGAATATCGGTGGTGCACTCTGGGAGCCAATCCTCCTTGCTTCAATTTACAACTTTACAAGACTGATGTGCGCGCACTTTAATAGTGCAATCTGATTGGTTAATATTTAATCAATTTCATGACGCGCCAGATGTTTATTATTTCTAGTGCCCTGGACAAAACTGGAGAAATCTATATTTATTTTCTTCAAGATATAGCAGAATAGTATAAAATTGTTAAAATCAGAATGTATTGTTTGTAATATTGTAGAAAATATAAAGTGTATATAATCATGTTTTCAAAACATAGTTAAGATCCTCATAGATTATATTCTTTGTCCAACCATAGACATTATATTATTGTTATAACTAATTTCACTAAGAGTATGACTCACGCAGACAAGGGCACTGATTGGTTATAGAAAGCCTATGCTTTGACTAAGGGTATTGTCCAAAGGTCAAAGGTTAATAAAATATTTAACACAGGAGCTGAAGTTCACTAACTTAGTTCAGAAGTCACACAGGTTAATATGAACGGCAAGGTCAAATATCAATTGTTCAACATTCTTTGGAAAATATTTAGGTCACAATGTCAAAGCAACATAATATAGGTTGATGATCAAACATGTATCTATAGCAGGCCTGTCAACTGTCCCGCAATTTGCGTATTTGTCACGCATTTGCTGAAGAATTTGAAGTCACGCCAGTTTTTTTTGCGTGACAGAAAATGTCACGCAAATACGCATTTTACCTGGTAATTGTCACGCAAAAATATTTCTGTAGAAAAGTTTTCAAAATATGTTGACGATACGGTAAAAATACGAAAGTCGGAAAAAACCGAACGCAATTTGTTCGGATTTGTCACGCGAATCCCGTATGTGTCACGCATGTTAATTGGAAATTTTCGTACCTACCCCCCCCCCCCCCCCCCCCCCCCGTTGACGATATCGCGAGCGTAGCTAGCGCGAAAAATTGAGGTGTCCAAAATTTGATTAAATGCAATCAAATTGAAAACAAGGTGCTCAAATTGTGGCCAAGATTTTTTTTTTTTTTTTTTTTTGTAAAATCTATTTATTTCTTAACATATGTACAACATGTATGCATAATATTACATAATTACAGTTACAATACAGAGTTAAAAACTATTTACATTTAATTAAAAATTTTCAATAAATGTACCACTCTCTTAAGAATTAGGTTTTCATAATATATCTCTTTTCCTGTTGGTTTTACACCTAGACGTTCCAAAATGTTACATTCATTTCCAATCCAAATAGGTTCAATTTTTTTACAACTTACAAAAAAATGGGCCATATTGTCATTTTCATCACAGAATTTACATTTGTCACTATCCATTATGTTATATCTTTTAAGTATGCCCCCATGAGGGTAGATTTTATGGAGTATCTTCCATTGTAATTCTAAGAGAACTGTTTCTCTAGTACATTTATAAAGTGTTTCCCATACATCTTTGAGGATATGCTCACCATCATAATATAATTCAACCTTTCTGTCTTGTACCAATTTTTTCCTAATGAATTTAGCAGTTATTTTATTAACTTCAATATTTCTGAAGTAAAGTTTGTCATTTACATGATCATCTTCACAATTATACCATCTAAAGATGTGTTCTGGTTTTAAAGCATTTCTTAATGCCTGATACTGTAAAAATACTTGGCCATTTCTACCTACTATGTTGGCAATATCATCATATGGTACCAATGCTTTGTTTCTAATGACATCCTTAATGTATATCAGTTTTTTCTCAATCCAATTAGAAAAATACAGAGTTTTATTAGCTCTTACAATATTGTCATTATTCCATAATATATACTCATCTTTATAATTACAATATTTTATCCACAATTTTAATATATCAGCATAAAATTCAGAGCAGTTCTCTAGACCACTTATTTTTTCAGCTGAAGTGTTACTTCTAAAAACAGAGAGGTTTACTCCCAGCTTATCATACATACTAAAGGGAATAGATTTCCAATGCCCTTTGGAGCTATCCTTAAGTTTTTTGACCCACTGTAATGCATATGCAATTTGCATGTCTTTAACATTGATCATTTGTAGACCACCTTCAGAATAGTCTTGTACAATAACATCTCTTTTAACTTTCTCAGGCACAGTCTTTAAGTCACATTCCTTAAATTTTCCCTTGGCCCAAATAAATTTGAAAACCATTGTATTTATTCTGTTTAAAATATTCTCTGGTAAAATAAAGCCTTGCATTATATAGGAAAATTGTGATATAATCAATGACTTTGCAAGAACAATTCTTCCAAAAATAGTAAGTGTTCGGTTTGCCCAAGACTTCATAATACTTTGACATTTTAAAAACTTAGATTCAATATTTACACTGTTGTTTACCACTTTTACATCCGGACTGAATGTGATTCCTAATACTTTAATAGAGTTTTCAGGTTTGATTTTCCACTTGACTTTACCAAGAGTATCTTTCCTATTTTTCCAGGAACCAAGCCACATGGCTTCAGTTTTATTTACATTCATATTTAAGCTAGATATATTGGAAAATCTTTTAAAGACATCAATGGTATTATAAAATGATTGTGAGTCTTTTACAAACATTGTAGTATCGTCTGCAAATTGTACAATTTTTAAAATTTCTTCATTTGGTAGGGTTATACCTCTGATATCATTTTGCTGCCTTATTTTGCAGGATAACAGTTCACAAGCAATAATAAATGTAAGTGGAGATAATGGGCATCCCTGACGAATGCCCCTTTCTAAATTAATATTGCCAATTATCCAACCATTATGATAAATGTGATTGTGACCATTTCTATTGAGTACATCTACCCATTTTATAAATGATGGCCCGAAACCAAATTTTTCAAGTGAGTATAACATAAATTTCTTAGATATCGAATCAAATGCTTTAGAGTAGTCAATTGCCATCATTATACCTTGAAGTTTATTAGTATCTAAATAAATTATAACATCATCAATTGTTCTTAAGATATTTGATGCACTTCGCTTTTTTATAAAACCAGATTGGTCATCATGAATAATTGAGGTAATAATCTGTTTTATTCTATTAGCCAATACCTTTGCAACGATTTTATAATCCACATTTGTGAGAGTTAAGGGTCTCCAGTTTTTCAGCTCATCCTTTGGCAGATCCTTCTTTGGTATAAGTACCATTAATCCCCTTTTTTGAGAGCATGACAACTCTCCTTTAATAAAACCCTCATTAAATGAGTTCACAATCAAGTGACCTAATTTTGTAAAAAATACTTTATAAAAAGCAACAGTTATGCCATCTAATCCTGGACTTGAGTCATTTCTCATGTTCCTTAGAGCTAAAATACATTCATTATAGGTTATTTCACCTTCACATGATAAACGTTCATCTTGGTTTAATGAAGGAATATGTACATTATTAAAAAAATCATCAGCAATTGCTGGTCGGAATAGAATCTTTTTAGAATATAACTCACCATAAAATCTATTTAATTCATTTATAATTTTAGTCTGGTCTCTTGTTACCTCACCATTATCAAGTTTTAAATGTGTAATAAGTTTCTGTTTCGCTTTAACATTTTCTAGTTGCAAAAAATACTTAGTGCTTTTTTCTCCCTCTTCATACCATTGAACTTTTGATCTTATCATAGCACCTCTTGCCTCATTACTTACAATGTCATCATATATTTTTTTGCACTCATTAACCTTCATGTTTAACTCATTACTGTCTGGCTTTTTACATAATTGTTTACAAGCTTTTTCTAAATTGGTTTTGGCTATTTTTATTTCCTGTCTTTTTTCTTTTGCAATTCTTTTACCAAAATTCAAAGAAAAATCTCTAATCTCTGTTTTACAGTAATCCCATAACATTTGCTCATCTAAATTCCTATTTTTTAATTTTACATTTTCGACAATAGTATTTACTTGATTAACATATTCAGTATTTTAATTGTGGCCAAGATGTTCAGATTTGGACCAAGGTGTCCAAAATTTGAACAAAGGTGTTCAACATTTGCAAGTCACTCATGTTAGGTGTCCCCAAGTTGACAGGCCTGCTATAGGTCAATGTCAAGCTTCAATGTTGGGTAAATGTGATTACAAAAAATTCTTGGAAATTGATTTGAGGTGCAGAAAGCATTTTTTGTAAACACAGCCTGCCATCTTTGTTTCTTCACTGTTGAGATAATTTACTACGATGACACCATTTCGCAAGTAAGTCTAGCCACTACAGTGGTATCTAATATAAAAAATCATTGAATCAAAAATAAAATTCAAAATATTCTGAAAATCTTTGAGGGGTACTACTATTTCTTTTCAAAATCTGTGTTGTTTTCACATACTTCTGATTCAGTTCCTCTCTTTCCCCTTGCAGATCTCAACATTTGCACCCATTTACCTATAACTTAAGTGTTAAGTTAAGGAGGCTCAGAGAAAAGAAGAATGAGCCCCATTCTGCTGTTTTCATTGATGTCTCCGAGAACATGTGTTTGTTTTGCTAACCTGCCAATGTCACCCCAACTTATGTAAACAACAGCACTATAGACCAAAGACCTGGCATACAACCACAGGTAGTATTTCAACGAATAGGGTCCTACCCTTTTTTAAACTGATAGTTTAACAGAAATTCTGGTATTTGCTCTTAAGCAAGATTACTGAAAATAAAATTGATACTTTTTGAGGAAGGAATCTGGGAATATGTTTTATTGTTATATCTATCTATGGAATTATTACACAAAATATACACATAGTAACATGAATTGTTTTT